GTACAAGTTTTATTACATCTTTTCGTGATTATTACTAAGTAATTAACTATTTACACTAGACTAATTGTACTATATGTGATTCGTTTAAGTTCTCAAAAAAAAAAAAAAACCGCGATATTCGAAAAAAAAAGAGAAGGGTCAAACAGTGACGACGGGATGTATTTTCTGCAAATATAAAAAATAATTTAGCTTTCTGTATAAAAAAACAACTAACTTCTTTTCCAAAGCTTGCGGCGTGTTTTTTTTTTCTCCAAATGGAGGGAACCATTCCAGAAAAAGAGAAGTCACTCCAAAAGAAGAGAAATCACTTCAACTGGAACGAAAAGGTTTCCAAAAGGAAAGAAAACACCCCAGAAGAAGTGAAAACGTTCCAAAAGGAAAGGAATAAATTCTAGAAGAAGAAGATCTCCCAAAAGAAAGCATTCCAGAAGGTGAAGATCCTCCAAAAGGAAGATACTTCGGGGGTTATTTCAGTGGAGAAGATACTCCGAAAGAAATAAAAAAGACAACACCACGCAAGCAGGTGAAACTCTCTCAAATGAAGAAAAAAGCATAAGTAGAAAATTTTCATACCTTTCTTGCTTTTCTTCATAATTGACGGTAATAGTGTTTATTTAGAATGTGTCGTATTAATCTAAACTTTAAATAAAAAAATGCGTGTAGGGTTATAACTGGAATCGATACAAGTCCGAAGCATTATAAAGGGTAATTTTTGTCAGTACACGTGTTTTTATTTATCATACTATATCGGTATTACCAGTTTGTTGTTCAAAACAGTCATACAATTACGCGTCGCGCATGATATTGACGTATTTGTTTATGTTGATTATGTTGATGCAAAAAAAGACTTTCATGGGTGAAATGCATCAAGAATGTAACTTTTCGTGGCTACGCTCCGAACAATTAGAACGACTATAGTCAGACTTCACCTCCTTTATAGTCATATTTGCTTATAATCATATAAATTTTCAAAAACCAACTCATATAATACAGTCGACTCTAGATATACCGAACTGCACAATGAATTTGTTTACATTTAGATTTCACCAATCAGTTTCGTGGCTTCTAGAATTTTTT